CGAACCAATTCACACGATAAGTGGATAATCAAATGGAGTGTATGTCTAATTCATAAAGTCAAAGCAAAACAAGTCTCCTAGTCACTTGCAAATCGTATCAACAAGATTTGTTATTGCTAATCCCATCGAGTTATTAACAAAAGTGACCCAACCAAGCACTACAAATATGTGTTTAGCTAGCAGATTCTTCAAGATTTGCTATTGTCAAACTTAAATTAAAATTTATTTAATTAAGAATGTTTTAGCCAGGACAAAAAGTGGTGTCTACACATGGGGTATGTGACTATGTCGATGACCATCCCAATCATAACATTGATACTCTTCAGCTTGCTCCCATGTTCGCTGACTGACTGACTATGAGTCCGAGCATTTCTTACACTTTATGTCTGGAGGCAATATCTGGGAGGTTCCCAATAATCAAACATTAATGTTAACTCAATCTCCTCAGTCAAGACAAAAGCTCAAAATGAAGAACAAACCATAGAGGAGATGGAACTTGAGCTCCCTCTCATTGAAGCACAACTGGCTAAGATATAAGTCGAGTTGATCAATTCTGGCAATGATCACCTATTGAAACCTCCAGTTAAGGAAAAACTTCTTGCGATCAGTTTGAAAAAGATCGAATCTGGGGGGCATCCTTTAAAAGAGGAGGTTAAAGTGGTAGTTGGAAAGAAGCAGACGACATCAAACCATCAGCTTATGGCCACGCGTTGATCATATTTTGGGGTGATCATGAAAGAAAACCCTTTGTGGCCAAGGATCAACTTTCCTGCGGAGATGAAAAATGCAAGGGTATAACCCACAGTTGGATCACATTCGTGCATAATGTCATTTTTCTGCTTGCAGTATACTTCTAGGCCCTATTATGAGATAATCATTGGCAGAAAGACATTATTTATAAGTTCCTACCCAGAACCGAACCAACAGAAATGACGCCGAATTTAGTAACCCATGGCACTGAAATTGGCCTAGCCTAGGGAAATACTGGTTGACCATAATATGGTCTCCTGGTCGTCCTCCTAATCTCTTACGGGAATCCTTTGTCCATACAGAGCTAAAATGCAATACTTTTTACCTTATGAAGAGGATAATGTATTCAAGATCCATATCCCACATGGAAACGAATCTAATCCCTATAAAGAGCATCTCTCTCAACATTAAACACACATGTCAACAAATTTGAGATTTGGGGAAGAGATTAAAAAAGTGATAGAAGAGAATGGTAACCCAAAGGGTGAGAATATAATCAAGGGCCAGAATGATAGAATTTTTCCAGTAAACGGAGCTCGGGCTACCGATTCTCAAGGTGAGCAAAACGGTGCACAATAATGCCTAACCGTATTCAAGCATTAAGATATGTGGTGTTGAAGGAAGAGCCTCATAACTCCATGCCATGGATGCTTGCCTCGCTGACGTACCACCAGGCATTCTTTTCAAAGCCTCTACTTGTGCCATGACACATAGCTAGCATGAGTAGGTGTCTAGCTATATAACGGTTTCATCATGTAATTATAAGCTCCTTCGTGGCTTTGACATGGAAGGAACTAAAGTGTGGGGTGATCAATTGGGCTTCGTCTAATGCAACTTTCTTCAAGAACGCCTCACGATGATACATGAAAGGTTCTTTGGTATACCCTAGGCAACTACTCTTCTTCTTATAGGGGAGTAAGGGTGCGGCCATTCGCCTTCATACATTTTCTCATGGCCTTTCATTGCGTATTTTCATACTTCTGTGATAATACAAGCACTCAACGATTTGGCCATATACGTGTTTTTCGCTTATGAAATCACGATATGGATGCCACTATGGCCTTTCTTCTGGAATGTCGCCTAGCAGTGAATGCTCTCCACTCATTCTTGATTTGGATTGCCTCAAGAGAGATACTTAGGTGAACTTAGGTTTTTCCTTATAGGAGGAGATGACACACTTGCTCTCTGCATTTTACACTTTTTGTTTGTTCGTGAAAGCCAATCATCAAGGAACTGGCCGATATGCATGGATTTTGACAAAACCAGTAACTTCATTCTACTTTTCTCTCTACTCCTGACTTGTTCCAATGAGGACATTGTCCCATTAAAGTGTGGGTGGGATTTAGTTAGTTTTTCTTCATGTTATATACCATGAGTTTGTGAATGTTCATGCATGTGGCGAAAGGGTTTTGTGTGTGTATTTGTGCATCCAATTTCAAAAATTTTGAGTAATGCCACACCGCTAAAGCAAATTCGAAGTTCATCATACTTTGAATTGCTAGTTTCTTCGTTGATATGTGACTTGGTCACCGCTATACTACCTCGCCAATTCTAGTTATAATTGGCCCAAATTGGAGTCATTAGTGTTGTAGAAGATCGAGCTTATAAATTGTAAATATCGACTCACAAGTCAAGTTTTTGGCTCCGTTGTCGGGGAATTCTTAGATTATTATGAAAAGCTGATAAAAACTACTCTAGTCATTTTTTTCTCGTTTTGTGTGTTTCTATCTTGTTGTGTATATTTTGTTGTGTAGTGTGTTTGTAATGTCTTATTTTCTTTCATGTATTCTTTCTTCTATTGTTATGCTTCCTTTAAATATCTTGTGTTAGGTTGTTGCTAGTCTTTGCTTTATCTCTTAACACTTTTACTTTCATAGGTTGTTCTTTTTTTGTGTATGGATATTGTTGACACGTGGATCCCAGTGAGTTGGCATAACAATAACAATGGAGGATATCCCAACCTCCCAATTGGTGGTATCCCAGAGTTTCAAGTGATGATAAAAGCCAAGTTGTCGGGTATCCACAACCAACCCCTCTCTATGATCAACAAACATACCCCCAAGGGTATCAATTTCATCAACCATAATGAGAAGAACGCCCTTCATACCATGAGTGGAATCCCCAATCACTCCCCGAGCCTAAAGTGAGCTTAGAGTTCGAATTAGCGAACTTCTTGTTGAAGACTGAAAGGGTTCAATCCACTATGGAGTCGTCCATAACTCCATCTCCCTAACCCGACCTTTTATCATAGTCTGAAGAGGTGCTTCAATAAAGAGAAGTGATAAGGCAATTGTGTGCTTGTGTTGCTCAAGATCGTCTTCATCATGAAGGTGAGCCTTGCAATGCCAATCCAAGGGAGCAGGGAGAAAGTTCAACCACCAAGTATGAAAGTGTGCTTCATTTCACAACACCAACAAAGATAAAAACCATAGTAGACTTGGTCATGGAGTGCTTCAACATAGGGTACAAGTGTATCGACACTGGTGACCTAACCTTCCTCCCGGTTACTTTTATGTCAAAAGTGGATATAAAGCGGAGGTAGAAAGACTCAAAGTGATGGAAGAACAAGAAGAGCTTGATAGATCATCTAGTGAAGACATTGTTCTTGATCACATCCTTCCTCCATTATAAAAGAAGAAAATTTCAAAGAAGGGAGCTCAAATGAGGTGTTCGAGGATGAAGAAGGAAGCAAAGAAGAGGTTGAACTTGAGTCTCCAATTGGGGAAGATGTCGGGCTAGAAAAAAGAGAGGAGGTTGAAGAAGAGGATGATGATTGCTTGGATTTTCTCCAGGTGGAGGTCCCATAAGAGTCACCCAACCTTGAAAGGCTACTAGCATTGGATCCCTTCTCAATAAGTCTTTGCCAAGAATAGACCACATCATCATCAATCCCTTTTGGTAGATGTGAAATTACTACTCCATGTTCCTACATTTGGTTCGAAGCAACGAGAAGAAAAGAATAAGTGAAGTGAGGACCCAAAGGCGGTGTCTCAAGCACTATCAACTTCATGGAACTTCACTAAATGAAAACCTCAACTTCAAGGAGGTTTTGAGACGGACTGAAGACTTGAGGGCAATCTTCCAATGATAAGACGCAACAGACGGCTAGTTAGGAGGGACTCCAACATCGGTTTATGTTTCTTTACCTTCTTTCAATAAAGAACTTGCATGATTAATTAAACTTTATGATTTTTTTAGTTAATTTATATAATTAGCATGTTGTCATGCTAGTACTTGAGTGAATGAATGTTTGGAATGTGTTAGTTGAACCCCAATTTTGTTGCTTACGTAGGAACGTTAGAAATTTTGGATTTTGCCTGCCTAAGTCAAGTTCGCAACCTCATAGTTCGTATTCGCGGTTGTGAACTAAATGTACAGGCCAGAGAATTCCGTTTTCGCGAAGTTTGCGACCTAGACAGAAAGTTCACATCTTCAAATTGGTATGCATAGTCCCGCGATCTTTCATTCTTTGGACAAGTTCGCGACTTACTAATTGAGTTCGCAACCACGATCTTTAATGCCAAGCTTGTGAACTAGTCAGCGGTGCAAAAGGCCAAAACATGGGTAGAACCTTCATTTTCCTCAATCCTCTCAACTTTTCACCTCCGAACACCCATCTTTCATCCCACCTTCAACCATTTTCACCCAACTTCCTAAATTCTAAATTTTACCAATCCTTGGAGCTTTGCTTGAGTCTTTGACACTTCATCATGTCTCCAAGCAATTCAAGGAAGGTCGACAAAAAGGGGAATGACATTTCTAGAGTGGAGATCTCATTATGACATTGATCTCAGAAAGCTATCACTTCATATATATATAAATCTAATTAACAAAACTTATCATGAAATCTAGAAAACAAACAATGATGTTTTTCAAATCCATAATGAACTCAAAATCCTCAGAGTTTTACAAATCAAGTTTTACCAAAATTTTATTATTTCTAATCTACGATGCAAATGACGCATAAAAGTACAATCAGGACGTGTTGTGGAAGCGTAACCATTCTGGTCTGATGCCTCTAATTGGAGGATCTAACAAATAAGAGTAAGAATCCAGAAATCTAGATTTCGTTAGCTTCAGAGAAAAAGAAAACACATCTCGGGCTAATCTGCTTATGAGTGTGAAATTCAACCAGTAGAGAGGGAAATGGGGAAACTTAAAATGAAAGGATAGTGAATTGGAATATTAATGGCATGGCCACCATGGGAAGCAAAAATTGATTAAAAAGCTATCAACTTTAGCAGAGGTTTGGCACCAGTTTTCAAGATTTCAATGAGCCTATGTACCCACCTAGCTACTAGCTAGTCCCACCTGCTCCATCTCCATCACATAAATATCATTTGCTATACCCCAACCTCCATTTCCCACAACAATGAAACAGCTGCCTAGGGAGGGTTGAAATTCAGTGGCAGTCTGGACTAAGGACAAATGTTCCCATGAGCTTCTCTATCATTCACGATTACCAGAAACAAAACAGTAACAACACACTTAGAATACAACAAACTACACTTATATTTGTAGTATCCACTGAGTTTATGATGCAGGAACTTTTACAAGAGAGACATTATGCCATATTTTCCTAGGGTTACACAGAGCAGAGATGAAAAAGCTTACACAACCTAGAACTATTGACTCGGCAAGCAAAGGCTATAATCAATACTGCACACTACTAGGGAGAGGGAGGCCAACCGTACAATCCAGCATCCTGAATCCCTTCATAAAACCTTAGCTCCAGCTCCTCCAGCCTTCCTTCATCATCATCCCACATCTCATCATAACTCTCGTAATCATAACCCCCCATCTCGCCATGTATGAATTCCCATGCCAGGTCCTCGTCTGAGAATTCAAAGCACTCATCCTCCTCCGAGTTATTCATCTGATAATAATCCATCACAAACGGACCCAACACCTTCACCTTGGGAAATTTCTCCAGTAAGAACTTGTCATCAAGCTCTACATCCCAACACCCTCTCAAATCCATGTACTCAAGACCAGTGCAGCTTGATAATATCTTCAGAGCGTTCTCGGTGCTGATCTGGTGGTACGCCATCTCCAAGTGCTTTAGGCTAGGCATCGTGGTGGCGATTGCATTGGCCTCATCTTCTTGCACCGCCTTATCGGCTTTGTCCAGTGGATGCATGTTCCGACAGAGTCCTTCAAGGTGTTTACACTTGTTTCCAACTAGCTCTAGGGCACGAGCATCAATTTTGCTGCAGTAACTCAGATCCAGGAAAGTGAGATTTGAGAGCCTTCCAGAAATCTGCTCGATTATGGAGTCGCTTATCGTGCTTCTTGGCAGCTTAAGTGTCTGAAGGGAACCCGCACTAGCAGCACAAAACAAGCAAGGAGACAATTGGTAAATAAAGCCTAATGTATACAAGGTATGGGCAGGACTACGATGCACCCCCTGAATTTCAGTTTGCATTTAATATCATTGTGGTCTATAAACGTTCATTTGTAACATTTACCAAACCATTTGTTAAATTTATAAACTCGTTCACAATTTACAAACCACAATGATGCACACATTATCCAACCAAAATCTGTGGTGCACAATGAAACTGATCGATGAACTATATGACGAAAAATGTAGGGCTTACTGTTCGGCGAGGAAAGGAAACATTGCATCATTGCGGAGATTGGTGACAGAGAGCTTGCGGAGGGAACGAGAGCTTCGAGTGATTAGCATTCTGAGCATACGATCGACTTGTTCTGGCAAGGATACTTCACTCCATTCCTCAATGTCAATCTCCTGCCAACAATAGGGACCTAAAACTGCCCTGCTCCATGATTTGCAAACCCTGGGAACAACTGTTAATATCTCTTTCAAACACAGCTTGCCGAAGATGAGACCAAGCGCATCTGGTATCAGCTCATCCCACGGCCTGTAATCACTCCCCTCCTCCATGGATAATAACATCTACATTCCAAAGAAAACCCGCAAAGTCAGCTCTATGAGAAATGTTCAAATGAACTCAAAAGGAAGATCTTATATCTCCACCCAAAAATCAAATCGCATTTGCCTTCTGATGCAGAATGAAAACAAAAAGAAGAACGATCCATAAAGGAGGTGGATTAAGAGAGCAAAGAGGGTCGCGCAAGAAAGTTACCGAAAGGTGGATGCAGCGATGGGAGAGAGAGAGAGAGAAGGGGAAGGAAGTGGCGAGGAAAGACAGAAAGATGAAATTGGTGGGAGAGAAAGAGCAGAAAGGATTGAGATTTAAAAAGAGAGCAAAAATTCAAATCCCCATAGTGGAGAGGAATTTCAATTGAGGCAAAGACCCATTTCGATGATAACAAACTTGTCGATGAAGTCGGCAGGCAGCCAGGCACAGCAAGAACCCACCAAAAGAAGAAAACAGTGTGGGTGGGGGAACAAACGATAATACGAAACAAGACTCTGAATCTGCCAAAATCAACACCACCCCCAAACAACTGCTAAAATAAATGGAGAAACATTCCTCCCTCAATCGCTCAACCCACATCCGCAATCGCTAAACCCAATTACTACGTCGAAAGTAACTATTTTTCCTTCTTAGATTCAAATGGCCCAACAAATTCACTGGCGAGAAAGTGACCAAAAACTAGTAATTGGAATTTGGAGCAGGGAGGAAAACAAGTTTGCCCAAAATGCAGAGCAGATTTGACCTCTGCGCAATAAAGATTCACTTCATCTAGAGAGATATAATCTCCTTGTCAAAAAATAGGTAACCAGATAAATTAAGAGAGATACAACTACAGGAACAGATTTAGACAGCCTAAGAACAGCTATCAACCACATCCAAAACAAAATTCATATTAAAAAAACTCTACTTTTGTGGTGTACCCAAGCTCAGAAGTTTCCAAATGGACAAGAGAAATGGAAGAAGGAAAAGGGGAAGGGAGAAGTGCTGCGTCGAAATCTGGAAGGAGAAAAGATCTAGTTCATGCCTCTTACTCGGAAAATAAAAGGAGTCTGCTTAGCACTCTTCTCAGCCTTGACTGACTCCCTTTGGCGCTGGGATTTAGAGTTCTGCAAAAGAAGACCCAACCGGTTTATCCGCCACAAATCAGAGGGGGAAAAGGCGAAGAGAAAAGGCCAGGAAAAGGTGAGGAATAGAGAGGGAGCCAGGCAAAACAGAAAAAAGGGAAGAGATCAGCTGCAGAAGAAGCAGCAACGTCAACTCACCTACCAAGCTTTTTAACCACTGGAGAGTGAGTTAATGTGATAGCCCAGCAAATACCAAGAGAGAGCAAGAACCTCTCTAATAAGCGCGAGAAGAAAGAAAAGAAAAAGGAACGAAACGGATTCTTGGGGGTAAGATGTGAACAAGAAGCAAGAAGATGAGAAAGTGAATGACTGGGGAAAAAAAACAGAAAAAGACAAAATGAAGGAGGGAGGGGAGGTGGAGGTGCGGCCTTTTTGCCCCTGGGTTTGGTTTTGCTTTCTGTTTGGGCGCTCTTCTTTCCTTTCTTTCTATTTCCCCCCGAAAAGGCAGAAGCTTTGTGGTTGGATCGGTAAAAGAAGTCAAATCCACAAACAGAAGCTGGCGCTGTAAATGACACCATCACACCACACAGTCTGCGATAAAAAGATTGAAATTTATTTTCTCTCTGAAAAATAGGCTTCGAATGAGATGGGAATTTAGTTCACCGCTGCTTTCAGGCCGACGCAGAGTTCCCTCCCTCACTCACTGTTATTAGATCTATTTGTGCGCGCATGGCAATTGGCATGGGTAAGAAAAAAGATTGGCGCCTAGCAACGAGTTGACATTGTTAGAAAACGATGGTTTCGGAAAACTATTAATTCAATCGCTGTTAACAGGTGAAAAACATATGTTTTTCTTTAGTCACTTTTTATCTGGTATTTAACTGATAAGATTAGGAAAATGACGTTCTTCTAAATTATTAAATCAGTCCAATTTGAATTGCATGTAATGAAAAAACAATAGCAATAACACTAACTAATTTGCAATGAGATGGTAAAATTCATGGTTGTTAAACTGATATCCGCCTCACTCGTTGGACCAGGCTAGACTGCGGCCAACCTTCAAAACAATCCTCCAACAAGTTGTTTTCCTTAAGAGTCGGGAACTAGTCAAAACAAGAAAACCGGTCGGTCTAATCAAATTGATCACTCCCAAATTATCGGAAAATTATTTCATTTCGCCAATCTAAAACAAAGAGAAAGAAAAAAAACTACACCACTCAAACAAAGAACCACAGAGAAAGGAAGCGTGAGTTTAGTTTTCATTTTTTCCACAAAGAAATAGATGGAGGGAGTGAGTGGAAGCATAGTTATTAAATCTCAGGTACATGGTGATACGTGAAAGTGTTTATTCCAAACCCTCATATTGTGATCAAAAGTGTTTAAAATTCTCATCATTATTGTCATAATGCATTGGATTATTGTCATGATTGTTCAAGTGCATTTTAGCAGCTCTAGGATTGCTCTTATATAATTGATGCACTTTTGGAAAGGGTTTTGTGCATTTTCAGGGCCGAGCAGCCTAGTGGACGACTTAGAAGCCTATGGGACATCGAGCCCAAATTGCTAGAGCAAGAATTCGAAGACCGGACGGCAAACAAAATAGGCGCCGACGACACCGTTTTACTAAAGAGAAAAGGCGGACCCGACGTTATTTTGTGAGAAACGCCTACTTCGTCAGAAAGTCGTCCAGAAGCATCCTTATTTGTTGACCATGAGTTTGGAAGATTCTGATCGGCCGAATGACGCGGTAGGGGTGATTTTCCCTACTTAGAAAGTCTAATTGAAGATCTTAAATACGACTCTAGAGCCAGAGTTCGAGGAGGAGAGACGTGAGGTAAAGGAAGGGTCGTTACTCTGCCGATAGAGAGATGACACCTTTGAGGGAGAATCGGCGATGAAATCGGCGCCACAGGGCATGTTTTCCTGTTCTGGTTGCTGATTCCTATGGTGCACGTGAGTTCTTCGTTTTCGATGATGAATGCCCAAGAATCCTCCCTATGGTCGGCTAAGTTCCAAAACTCAATGATTGGTTAATACGATTTTTTGATTTTCATATGTCAGTGCTTGATTTCCAATATTTTGTTATTTGTTCATTCAAATGAATGCTTAATTGATCTTGCACTCCTTCGAAGGGCAAGACTCGAAATCCTAGTCGTTAGCAATCCTACTCAATCGAACCTCATTCGATCAAACGGCGTGTTTTCTCAATGAAGAAATTAGGCAGCTCGTGTGTGCCAAATATAGAGGTCGCGATCCAAGGTTATAGAATGACTCGACTATGTGATTTTGCCTAACCAGGTATATTGACATGTTTACTCGCCTACGTCGGGATGAGGTACATCACTGTCTTAGAATAAAATGCACCAAGTTGTATTAAGTGACACATACAACTCGGGAATAAAGTATCTTCGGGTGCGTGGTAAGGGAGTTCTCTTTAGAACGGCAAGATATAACCTGGATTGTGACGATATCATGGTTATTGGACCTAGGAGAATGATGCATATGCAATGCCTTCCTTCCCTACTATCTTACTTCTCTAGTAGCATAGATTTACTTTTTTGCACCTGCTTCATGTTTTGAACTCATAAGTTCTACCAAACCGGGGGAATCGCAAACTCCTAAATCAACCTCTTCTTTAATAGAATTGTACTTTGCTTCTGAAGTAAGGGTTTTGCAAGAGGCCCAAGGGAATACGATCCTCGCCTTAGAGCCAGGTAAATTTGGTCTACACTACGAATCAAATTTTGGCGTCGTTGTTGGGGACATCTCACAAACTTTGAAAAAGGAAACGAGGTACACATTCTATTTTCCACTTCCCACTGTTTGTAACCTCAAGGTAAATTGGCGCCAGAAGCATCGATTTCCTTCATCGTCGTTCTACTCCCAGATTTTGACCTCCATCTAGTGCATGAGCATCTCATGAACTAGGGCCAAAGTGAAGAAGTTTAGATAGAAAAGACTTGCCCAAGGTCTTGAGGATAGGAGTGGCACTACTGATTTGTCATATCAGAAGACACCACCTCCAAGAAGAAGAAAGGGGAAGAATAGGTTGTTTACTGCTCTTCACTCAAATCCCCTCTTCGACGAAGGTTCACAAGTAGAGTTTAACTCCTCTCCCTCTAAACTCCCATCACCTAAAGGCATGATGGAACGAACTCTCTACGAGTATACAAGGCGTCAAGCTGTGAACATCGGTTTCAGCATCTTCCTACCTCAGATAAGCATGCATAATTTCGAGTTGCATACTTCAATGATCAACATGGTCTAGAATGTTGGACATTTTGAGGGCCACAATTATGAGAATCCGGTCGAACATATCAAATGTTTCTGGAGATATGTGACTCTTCACAGTAACCAGGAGTGGAGGCTGATGCAATACGACTTCATCTACCTTAATTGTGCATGGGTAAGTCGCCCTAATTTTCTCTACTAGCCCACTTGAGGTTCTATGCTAGGTATGGAAAATTAGGGTTAGATGATTGAATAGAGTCTGATGGTGGATAACGTGACCGTGCCATTGCCACAAGAACGGCTTCCTAAATAGAACCCTAGATGAAATCTCGGTGTGGACGGTGGGTAGTACCCATTGAAATGAGCTAATTTCTTATAGCCCCAGATACGTGACCCTATACCGAGGTGACAATGGGGTAGGTAGGGTGTACTCGGAGGCGTGTGGATAATCACGAAGGCTTGCGAAAAAGAGCTCACTCACCACATTCGCTTAACCAATGCAGTCAAAATCGCGTTTCAAAACTTAAAAACTTACGGCTTTACGCTTTTAGGTCACCAAAACGCTTTCGTTTTCATATAAAAACTCTAGTGTATAAAATCGAACTAAATTGCGCTTTAAATCTTAAAAGCTTACGATTCTACGCTTCTAGTTCACCAAAATGTTTTACGTTTTTACGCTTTTAGTTCACTAAATTTGTGTTCTTTTCATGAAATTAATTATCACAAGTATATTTTAAAGGTAAATCACCAGCAAAATGATACATTTGAGATTAAAAGATACATACCAGTTACGTGGATGCATTCTCAGCTTCAATAGAGTAATCTAATTCACCAGCTAGACTCTTCCCCAATTCATTAGAATTGAGGGGAAGGCAGTGGCGAATTCATGGGGTGGCCACCCCAGGCCCCGGCCCAGCCCTCATCTGGATCCGTAGTTAGTATAGTCGTTATGAAATTTTTTATTTTAGGCCTTCGATCCAGTGTTATTTTATAATAAGATTGGGTATAACTAGAAAAATGATTCAGATGAACATATTCAAATCACTACTCTAAATTTAGCCTAGAAATTTCAGCCCCAAAGATTATGCGTCTAAAAAAAGGGAGTTGCTAAAGGTCGCCCTTAAAATTGCTGAAGGTCGCCCTAAATAGAATAAAAGTTACACTTTTAACCCTCATAGCTTCTTTACCATCGGTCAATCGCGCTTTGACCGCGGTCAGCCGCTGGCTCAACCGCACGTTGACCGCGGTTCAACTGACGGTCAACCGCGCGTTGACCGCGGTCGGGCCACGGGTAAACCGCGAGCCTCTCTCGTTACCTTCTCCGCGAGCGGGCTTCGGCGGCGGCGACTGGACGCGACGACGGGCGACGGGACGCGAGCGGGAGGGAGCGGCGACTGGCGGGTTCGGCGGCGGCGACTGGATGCGGCGACGGGCGACGGGACGCGAGCGGGAGGGAGCGGCGACTGGCATGCTTCGGCGGCGGCGACTGGACGCGGGCGGCGAGAGAGGTGTCGCCGGTTCACCTTCTTCTCCGCGGCGGTGGGTTTGCAGAGGTTCTCCGGCGGCGGCGGCGGGTTTGCAGAGTTTCTCCGGCGGCGGCAGCTTCTTCTCCGGCGGCGGCGGGTTTGCAGAGGGCGGCGGGTTTGCAGAGGGCAGAGGGTGGGTGGAAGGGTGGAAGGGAAGGAGGGTGAAGGGGTGAAAGGCTTGTTTGGTTGGTGAAATTTTTAAATTTTCATTAAGGGTATATAGGTAATTAGACTTTTAAGTTAGGGCGATTTTTAGCAATTTTTAGGGCGACATTTAGCGATTCAGTAAAAAAACAATGAAACCTAAAAAATTCTAAAATTTTAAAATGAAAAAGACTAAGAGAAATATGTGGTTTGTTCCCTTAAAAATTTACTAGAGTAGCTGGTGGATGCAGTGATGGACACACAATGCAAATTGATTAGTCGATTGATTTGTCTAGTGTTGATGCTGCTCGTTTCAACAACTACTACGAAGAGAACCTTTTCAACAATGAAACATGCGAGAACTGATTTGCTCAACAAAATGAGCGATGAATTTCTCGTTGATTGCTCTGTAGACTCCATTATTTATGCATTCTCTAAATTAAATACTATCGGGTACAATTTAAATTGCAAAAAAATATAATCATTATTTTTTTACGGTTCTAATTTTCTAATGAAATGCGGCCCAGTGTTTCTCTGTGTTCTGGATCCGCCGCTGGGGGAAGGTAGCTGATTGTTAGGATTTATGT